TCGACCTGCCCCCTGGCTATCAGCCAAAGGTCAGCCGGCCGAAAGGCTAGGCCGTTGAGGTTGCCGCAGTTGATCCGAATGATGTTGGTGAGGACGGTCAAATCAAGCTCAGCCTCACCTCCAAGCGGAAAAGTCACAACAAGATGACTGCAGCCATCAGTGCTGCAACACCGAAGATGAAGGCAAAAGCCATGCCGAAGCAGGCTGCCTCGTCCAGTGATCAGGCGTCCGTGGCTGGAAGTAGCAAGACTCAGCCCGGAGAGATCCGTGGCCCGGAGATTATCCCCAAGGCGAAGGCAGTCCCCAAAGCTGCTGGAAAGCCCGGGGAGACCCGTGGCCATGCTGCGGAACCAAGGAGGGAGTGGATCAAATGCTCAGGAATCAAGATTCCCCAGATCCAGAACTATGGCAGAAGAACTTTCTTGAGCAAAAAGATCTCGTATTGGTTCTTGGACATGCACATGAAAATGCGACACGATCCATACCTGAGATCAATCTCAAGGACAACTCCTTCGATTACGCAGCCGTTGCCAAATGGATCCAACGCCGGTATGACTGGAACTGTTCCCAGTACACCCTGCTGCAGGCCGCGAGCACGTCAAACAGGTTCGAGGTCTATGTGGAGTACGCTCCGGCCGGGCAACAGTGGAATGGACTCAGTTTCATGCCGCTGCGAATCCGAGCGTTCACCGGGCACAATGGCTGGGTCACCGAGGCAAGCGGCTTCGACACTATCCCCGGAGAGCCCATTGCCATGGATGTCAAGTACACCATTGAGCATGCCAAGAAAGGGGTGCGACCGGGCTTCTGCAAAGATTTCACGGACGCACGCCGAAAGGCGCTGCCCAAAATCGCCTACCACACGTGCAGCGTGCAGAATTTCTTTGACATCATTTACATGGGCATCTTTCTTGGCGGAATGGGCGACCGGCAATCCTCACGTGGTCACGCCTACCTAACGGTAGTGCCTCCTTTGGACAGGCATGGCCGGAAGGCGGGGGGCGCGCGGGCTGATCGGCCCATCAACATCGCCGTCGATGTCGAGATGTTGATCCAATTGGGCTGTAGGCTTTACGCACCCGGAGACGGGGAAGCCCTTGTGACCGAGGATTGGATCACAAACAGGTCCTCATTTATGCCTATGATGCTGAGTGCGCGAGGCTCATCTGGTCCAATCGCATGTACGTCAGCGTCAGAAGGAACTACCAGGACAGCATCAAGAAGTATCGTGAGGAGACTCAGAAAGGCGTGATCGGGACCCCGGTGCTTGAGTCGTGTATGGCAAAGGTTGACCGTGAATGCAAACTCTACTACAAGCAATGGGCCCCGACTGCTTGCCGCGACATGATGAGGCCTCACCGGATCGGAAACGTGACAAAGGTCAGGGACGTCTACGACGAGAACCTATGGTCTTTACAGGAACTGGGCTCGTGCAGTAAAGCAGCAGCCCGGGGAGACCCGTGGCCGGAGCGGACTTTGGCAGGACCTGGGCCCCAACAAGAAGAAGTCGACCAACTGGCGCTTCGCGGAGGTCATGCACATCCCCGATGTCGAATGCTCACGCTGCAAGATCATGATCCCTGAGGGCACAATCAATTGTCGAGCGCATGCCCGACATTAAAAAGATCGCAAGAGTCGTCCGATTGCAAGAGATGGCCAACAGTGTGGGCGTGCCGCTTTTGATGGACCAGGTTGAGACCCAGATCTTGACGCAGCGAAAAGACGCAAGAGAGAATCAAAACACAAAAAGGGGACTTGGGATCATGAAGGACATTGCAAAGAAAGCCGTCCTTCGCAACAAGGAGTACAACACCTTGTATGAGAGGCTGATCTACGCTTACACTGCCGCGCGGGGAGACCTGACGCCCTCCGCCCTCGAGTTTATCGAGAAGGTGGCACGATGCATTATTCCGAGTTTCGAAAGGACAAAGGAAATGATCCAAGGAAGCGTTGCTGTGCCAAAATATCCCGCACGGCTAACGCTGGTGCCGCCTAGCGAGGACGTGAAGGAAATCGATCCCAAGGACGTGTATGTTGTGCATGGTGGCAGATTTCTGGAGACCGAACAATTTGCCGCGTTGTACGGGAACCTCGACAAGGGCAACCGCTACCCCGTGATGGGCTGGAGCCGGGATTTCTCATCGGTTGGAGATCCCGAAGCTGTCCTGGTTGAATTGCTTTGTTTCGTTGAAGAGGAGATCCCCGGCATCCAAATCCCTGGACGAGCCACTCCTCTCCCTGTTGTCGGAGTGACGCGCAAGCCCATTCCTCAGCTCCGGGAGGCCGGTGGCCAATGGCAAGATCGACAATGGAACCAATCGTATTGGGGAAGCTGGGGCCAATCCTGGGACTCGTGGTGGTCTGATGATCAGCGCCCGTGGAAGAGCTCCCGCAATTGGGATTGGCGGTGAATGAGCGATCTCTTCAAAATCATTTCAATCTTCGGCTAACATCCAGTTACACTTCAAATTCACTATTCTTTATACTTGTCAATCCATGTTGGCCGAGGATCAATGTACAGGCATGAGCACGCCTCGCGAGAGCGACGATCAGTGGAGGCGGAAGACCTTAACTGCCAGTTGCTCGTATCCAAGTGCTTGTGTACTGCAAAATGGCATCATGCCGATCGGGTTTCCTTGGTTGTTTCATCCCTTTCATTTGTCCTCCTGTTTCACATTCGGGCACGGGGGGTGTAGTTTGCAACGTGATGTATTCATCAACCATATAAAACCCCAATGCATGAATGTCTCACTAGCGCAGTCTCGCCGTTACGACTGCGCGTGGCTCAAGAAAAAGCGCGCTATAGGCAGGGTTCATTGTTGACCCTTCCTGGTTGTTTAACCCGTTCTATAGTTTTGCTTGTGTCAGGATTCAATTGCACCATAGGGAGGGTCAACATGTACATGAATGAGGGCTGACCAACTGACGAGGGACAGGCTGATTTGGTCCGCTGCGGCTTTCAGGTTGGCGCAGCTGGAGGAGCGGTTCAGACCGGCTGGGGCCCCATGAAATGAAATTGGCATCGCCAGGCCACGATCGAGAGTCCTCCGTGTGCAGGCCTTTTTTTTTTTGGGGGGGGGGGTTGTGGTTTTCACTGGCTTCCTGGCGCCCCAAGAAGTACTCCTCCTCCTCCGCCAGCACATCCAAACCAGCTCCGCCCACGATGCCTCCACAAGTCTTGTGCAATGGGCCCACCTGTCAAACGATGCCTTGCCGCAACACCCCCAATCTGTCCAACAACACCGAACACACAAACAATAAACTCAACAACATGAGGACCATAGGTGCGGGGCAAGATCGGTTGTTGTTTTCCAACTTGCGAGTGAGACAAAAAGCACCTCGTTGCTTAGATGCACGGCATGCAACTTAAGCCCTCCTTTGCTTAACATCCACGGAAGCCATTTTGAAGGTTGTTCATAAATAAGATTGTCAGCTCCAAAGCCCGGGCTCAAGCGAGCCGTTTGCGAGCCTGGGACACCGGATTTTGTGTGCCATGTTCGGGCGATGTTCATGAGATTTGGGCAGGGCCTGCTGTATCCTAGCTTGGGGAGGGTTCTATGCAGGCTTAAAGTAGGCCTGGGGTTAAATTGGAATAACCCTCAAGTTAGATTTGGTGTTAATCTAAGTGAGATGTAACATTCTCCATCATGATGTATCTATCTTTATTTTTTCTTTGATTGATTGTTTCTTGACTGCTTGCTTGCTTGATTTCTTTCTTTTTTCTTTCTTTCTTTCTTTTTCTTTCTTTCTTTCTTTTTCTTTCTGTTTCTTTCTTTCTTTCTTTCTTTCTTGCCTTCCTTCCTTCCTTCCTTCCTTCCTTCCTTCCTTCCTTCCTTCCTTCCCTGCCTACCTGCTTGCTTCCGCAAGAATGTGGAGCAACCCGCGGGAAGAAGTAGCTTGCCGTCCAAAGCACCGACAGAACGGCGCATCTACTGCCCTGCGGGGCTGCGACACCTCGCGTGGTGCTCAGCTAACTTACGGCTTATGCAGCTTATGCGCGGTGCTTGTGAGGTCATGCTGGCCGCACTCAAACATTGCTTTGCATGCGGGAGGTTGGTCTGACTCAGAGTTTGCTGAAACTGCATGTTGCCTGGGGGTGGGGTAAGCAACGGCGTCTACATGTTGGGGCATGAAGCTTATCTTGCCTTCCCATGCCTGGCGCTTCTAAGGCGCCCAGGTGATGGCCTGAAGGACGCTGCGTTTTCGATATTGGCGTTGATTGCCTTTTGAAGCACGCAGCAGAAGCGCAACATGTTTGCTTTCCTCCCAAAATCCTGGGCGACACCATATGAAAAGGGAGCGCGCTTGAGGGGCTGTGCGCCCTGGAGGATCGACGCGATGAGCTCTCGGTGCGCTGCCCCACAGACCGCGCAGAAGATAACCCTTGGGGTGAGACGGACAGCAGGCGTAACCGGGAAGTGCCTCAGAAGCTGGGTACGTCTCGGCATATGGGGGGATAAGGGGACCTGTCCGTTGCGGAATCGTCACTTGGATGCTTTACTGGTTCATTGCTGGCGCCTCCAAAGTAAGGGTGAAGGAGGACCACCATGACTCATTCATGTTGATGCGGGAGGTCGCTTTGTTTCATCATGTTCGCTTGAGGTGTCGCGTTGTTCTATTCGGAAGCTTTACCCCAATGTGCCAGCGGCCCTGTGACCGAAAGCCACCGATGAACAAAAGGTTTTCCAGTAGGATTGTTGGTCATTGAATCTTTTTGCGTTTCCCGCGCGTCGCCGCTCATCCACGGCTAAGTCGTTGTTGTTTTTACCTTGGTTGTTGGCAGGTATTTGAGTGTTCATGGTGGCAGTATCAGCATGGAGGGAAGATCAAACAAACGGATGCTGCGGCACAAGACGAGCAACTACAGCGCACGCTCGCACATTGCCGAAGAGAGCGCTGGACCTGAAGCAGACGGCCCAGCTGCCACGGCCATTGTTGTGAGTTGTATTGAATTGTAGATTCTGGTGGCGCCCTCGGACTGACTTTTGTTCTCCGGGGTTATGGCGCGCCATGGGTGCGCCTTGCTGCCGCTGGCTTTGCTTGGCGTCCTGGCGCAGGACGACCAGGCGAATGGCAACCTGCCCAGACACAGCAGTTTGCAGGTCAAAGGAAGGGACGCCATTTCCATAGGGTGTCACAAGGTCCGAGCACATATTCGCCAGGGATTGTGATGATAGGGCTGATGCTGCGCCTGCGCCGCAGGACTTCAGAGCTTCTGTAAGGCTTTCATCTCCGCACTGTGGGGAACCAAGAGATTGAACCTTCAACTGCCGCGTGCAAAGAAGGCCAAGGGTCAAACGCATCATTGTGAGTTTGTAGTGGGGATGTTTTTTGAACTCAGCTGGCCCAGGTGCCGGAAATCGTGTTCTATTTTGTGATTCCTTTGTCGTCTTTTGCCGAGGTTCGAACGTGGGAATTTCTTTCCACGATGCCCTCCACGACTGGCGGGCCTTTGCAAAAAGTTCGCTCCAGTGCCAGAGGCGGGGCTGCGAATTCCAGGCGCCTCATGGGCAAGGCCCGGCAAACATGGAGCAAGGAGGGTCTTTGGTACCAGCTCACCTACTGATTCAGGAGCCCATTCCCGAAGAGTCCGTCTAGACCTATGGCTCAGGTGAGCTAAGCATCTAGGGTTACTTTTTGGCCAGTGCAAAAATAATGGAATTGGTGTTTTTTTTGCTTAGCCCTGTCTTTTGCACTGTCCGACCCGGTCGGTTGGTTGGTTGGTTGGCTGGTGGGTGGTTGGGTGGTTGGGTGGTTGGCTGGCTGGCTGGTTGGTTGGTTGGTTCTCGGCATTTCGGCCTTCGGAACCGATTTCCGAAAGGGGCATTAGTCACTCCATTGCCTGGCCCCCTAAAAGAGCAGCACACAAAGCCACTCTGTTTTGGACTTCGGGACCGACTTTTGGAGAATAAAAGGCACGACATGCTGGGCCGCCAGTTCGCGCGGGGGTGTGTCTCTTTTGCTGTATGTTTGGCATTCACAAGTCCACTCCTAGCCATGCACTCCCGCTGGTACTGGCTGAAGCCTGGTGCCTAGACACTGTTCCGCTACAGCAATAGTACAACGCTACAGCCAAGGGCGTCCAGTATTGAGTTTCCATGTGCACCAATGCCCCATCCGGAAATCGGTTCCGAAGGCCGAAATGCCGAGAACTGTTGCACTCTTACTGTCCAGTGTCCCAACCAAGTAGATCCGGGTAATGAAACTGAGCCCCAGAACGGAGACAGGGTTAAGCAAAAGACAGGGTTAAGCAAAAAAAACCCGTACCCCAAAAATGATTGGGCCATTGGAGGTCCTGCGCTGAATCCCCGCCGGTGGCCCAGCTGTGGGCAACTGCACGGCCACAGCCTGGGCCTGGAAGATCTGCAGCCCCATTTGCCCCGCCTAGCTTCTAACATCATCGCTTGGGTGAATTCAAGGTGAACTGCGTGGTGGGGTGATGTTTAGGAAGCCCTGAGTTTCTGCGGGCCTGCGAGGTCCTGCAAGTTCTTCAACTTCTACCCAGACTCCGGGGATTGCTTCTTGAGCGCAAAGGCCCGACATATGTTTGCGTGCAGAGGCCCTCCCCTTTTTTCGACCAACCCGACAGATGTCATCCACGGCCCTTTCAACTTTCAATCAAGTATCCCATGTTAGAATGCAGCCTTTGGGAAGAGCAAGCCGGGGGTTCCTCTAGGGGTTAGAGAGCTATTGTCCTTCTGCCCTCGAGCCGCCTGGCACAGGAAGGCAAGCTACGCAAGGAGAGGGCGGTAAGTGGACCGAAGGAGCCAGGGACAAGTGCACAGTCAGAGGAGCCTTCAGGTTCAGCATGAGAGCCATGAGCTGCCACGATTGACCCGTCGGGCTTTACCAGAAACTCAGGCATAATGTTGTAAGGACACCCAAAGAACTTGTATTGGTATCCGATGGTATTCCACAGGATTCCTTGCTTGTCAGGGATTCCTGACCATCATGCTCTAAGTCGCGCTTTGGCTTACAGAGCGTGTGTCAAGTGATATTGATCCTGCTCCTGCTCACGCGCAGGGCAAGGAATGAAACCGCGCACAAAGAGTTTGGACATAGCGCGCCCGTGGGGGATTTGCAATTTGCGTGCCCCTTTGTAAGCCACATAGCTAAGTCGTGGTCGCCTTTTGGATCCAGGCGTCGGGGCATTTCGTTGACCAGAGTCATGGCACAGCTGGTTTAGATCATAGATCTTGTTAGCCTCACATTTCGCAATCCGTCGCATATGTTCGGCTGGATTTGCACAGCATGTTCCGGGCATCCCGCATTTTTAAACCGGACCTCCCGCCCCTTGGATTTTGCAGAGTTTGCTCTCACATTTTGGCCACGTGCTTCAATCAAGCCTTGCAGGGCTTTAAGCGCCCCCACTTTGCTCAAGTCAACTTACTGTTGCTGTTGCTGTTGCGCAAGCGTGCCGGCCAGAAAGTGTAACATGCCTGAACCCGCAGGAGTGCCCTGCCCGGCTGGGCTCAGAGCCTGCCAACGGCACCGAGCCCGGAGCCTGGGCAGCTGCACCCACCCCCCCACTTTGTCCTGGCAGAAGGGTCAACCACAAAAGAAAGTGAACCTGTTGCCTTAGAGGGCGACTCAGTATCCAACATGCTGCGCCGCGATGGATAGTGACTACTGCTTGATCTTACTGAGGCCGCTGCTTTTCATACTAGGGGCTGCGGACTTCAACGGGCCAGGCCGTGGTTGGGAGAGCAGCGTTTGCATCGGTTCGGATTTGCGACTTGCTGGGCTTTCTCGACTTTCATTTCCTGGAGGGCATGGCAGGCTTGCCAGGGCTAAGGACCTTCATATGTCGGCTTGCTTTATGGTGGAAGTCGGCAACAGAATGTATGGGAGACCCTGACTTGTCGCGCGCGGGCTACGTGAGCGCGTGGCGTCTCGTGTTGGCCAGCAGCTGGTAGCTGGTAACAATTTATCATAATTGATCGTCAAAGGAATTCCATACCTTTCACTGCGCACAAACTTATATCATCCACCAATCAAACCAACACAGAGCGCAATTTACACGCCTCATCCGTGTAGTGGAGTGATTCGATTACACTCGTGAAACAGTTGTGGCTTTGTGACAGCGAAACTAGTAACATGGTCTCGCCGTCCGCCGAAGCACACAAAAAGGCAAATGTGGGCAGGCAGGTCTGAGAAACTATGCCAGCTCTTGCTGACGGTTGCTAAACAGCCAGTCGCATCAGCTCAGCGCTCTTTGACACCCCTCTTTGACGGTTTGAGCCCTCGGGCAGCTGAGCCCAAGGTGAGCTGTTCGAGGATGCCATGCAGGTGCTGCCCTTGGAAGGGGGCGCGTGGCGGGGTTTGGGGTTGCGGCTTGCCAAGTGACAATGGCCGGGTAGAAGTGGGGTGCCATGAAAGCTTTGGCTCTCTTCATTGCAGCCTGTGCCCGTATTCAACCTGGCTGTTGGTTTCGCGCGACCTTGTTCGCGGCTTTGTGCCACAAGTTTGTGCGACCTGACTCGGCGGTTTCTGACATGAGAAGGCTTGCCACTGCCGTCTTTCCAGCAGTGCCTGATATTAGTGCGAAGCACCTGCCAACCATCCTACTTGGAGTGGTTCTCATGGGCACCTTTGGCATACTGACATACATGGCGGTGCTTCGCACCTTGAGGCTGCGCAGTTTGCAGCGCGGCGGGCAGCAAAGAATACGACCAGCATGCAGGCCTGAATTGGATAGTCTAGTCAACAATTGCTTTGTTTCGGGGTGCTTTCTTTTCAAAGCCATCCAAAAGTGGGTCCGTTTCCAACTCAGAACGCAATACCCAGCGGAGCAAGCTTGGGAGACTTGAAAGGGGATCCCAGAAGATGGAGTTGGCTTCCAGTGGATTGAAATGCCAGCCAAAACCGAGCTCCCAATTACCCCCCCCATTGAGGTCCTCACTGCAGGTCATGCTCCCTAGGCATCCATTTGCCATGAACTTTGGGATGACTCGGCGCTACTGCTCGCCCCAATTGCAGGATTCTACGATCAATTCTAAGGCAGACCCACTTGAGAGGTTTCCTCGGGGGGGTTGAAGTCAAGCCTGAGCAGGCAGGATTTGCGGCAGCTGGAGTGGCGCGCAGCCTAGCGAAGACACTCGGCAAGCCAGACGGGGACGACTGTGGGGCTCGACGAGGGGGGAAGAGGAGACCCCGAAGTATGGTTGAACGTATTTGTTGCCTTCGCTTTGATTTCGTGCCCCTTGAAATGGCTGCTTGCATGACTCCTGTGACCTTGGCTTACTGACATGTGATTTTGAGTATTGAGTTTGCAGGTGGGCGATGATTTGGGATACTTCTTTTTAGGAAGTCTATCCCGCCAAAACTGTCCGACGGATTTGATGCTACCGGCGTCACTGGCCACCATGATAGGTCCCAATGGGAATAGTGGACCAGTATATAGGTCAAATCAATCAAACGTATGTGCATGATTGGGGCTCCCCAACAACAGCTCCACTACAAATGCAATCAAAAACATGCATGCACAATACATCCAACACCCACCAAGTTGCGACTGATAGTTCAGAAAGGCATTATCCTCTTAGAGAACAGTTGCGGTCTTCGTTTCCGCGGTTCCGAGGACCGCCTCCATGGGCCCCGTGCAGCAGGAGATCGCCGGCGCCGCCGCCGCTGCTGCGGAGGCGGCGGCCGCAGCCCGCGGGCGTGGGCAGGCGGGCGACAGTTTGGGGGTTCCACGGCGATTTCCCCGTTTGAAGGCTTCAACCCATTTGGGTTTTGGGGCTTGAAGGCAGGCAAAATGTTTGATCTGTCTGACGCCGTGTGTGCGCACAAGCGATGAACAGAGGGAGACAGGCAAACTGGGCAGGACAAGCAAGCAGGCAGGCAGACACGCAACTTGATGGATATGGGTTTGTTTTTTTGGTTGAGGGAGCAAAAAGGAAACCGACAGTGTTGGGGCCCTCTTGTTTGCTTGCAACCCCTTAGGCACAAAGCTTTGCCTCGATTTCCGATTTCCTTTGCTGGGCTTCGTCAGCTTTCTTGCGCAGGACCTGCGGTCCCAGGCACTGGCAGCTTCCACGGCGGCACAGGGCGTGGTGAACCTGCCAGAGCACCAGAAGGTGACGGAAGGGGTCCAACTTGTGGTATTGAGTGTGCCTTGGTACCTTTTGGAAGCATTTTGCTGGACCTGGAAGTCGATGTTTTCTGGGCGCTGCTCGCTTGGCAAAGCATGTTGCCACCCCTGTGGCCGCTAGCGTCTTGGGTTGAACGCAGCGCTTTGAATGAGGACCTTTCATATTAGGAACAAGGGCTTACGGGCTAAGAGGCTTAGCCCCCTGCTTTTGCATGTATGGTGTGTTCTTCTCTCTCTGCAGTCTTAGGTTCAGTGAAATTCACCAAACCGCCGGACCCATGGAAGGACACCTGTTCCAACCCCCCCCCCCTCATGATGAGGTTTTTGCTGCGATACCCCTGTCTCTTGGCCAAGTACTTCCAGCGGATACAAATTTGTGAACATGATTGATCAAGGACCGCCAGCGTCCTTCCCGCGACCTCTTGCCAGTAACCCTAGATTGAATTGCCAAACTCAAGTAACGACAGGGAATTCACACCCGCGGCGCAAATGAAGAAGATCTTTTCCCATCAGTCCATCATCTCATATTCCTGTACATTCATGCGCGCACACGAGGGCATTCAACAGCATTTGCTTTTGTTCTTCCCATTTTCCCAAGGTTCCTTAAACGAGACATCCCACAACCATTTGCTGCACAAAGGGATCCATTCAAAAATCACCTGGTGAAGGTTGTTGTTCCCGTCCCTGCACTGTATCCTTTCAGGGTCGTTCATGTTTCTTTCATTTTCTGGGTTCCAACACGGCGTCTGGGAGGCAGCGCTGCAGTGTTTGGGCGCCGCCTTCGCGGCCGCGGAGGAAGCTGGGGCTTCGAAGCAGGCGGTGCAGGAGGCCGAGGGGGCTGGGCTCTTAAATTAGCAAGTTGTGGCTTGGCTGGCTGGTTGGTTGGATGCCTTTTGGTGGGGTTCTGTTCCTCTCGTTGTGCATTTCAATCGCCGTTTGCAAGCTGCACTTCATAACGCTTTTTCGGTTGGTCATTTCTTTGCAAGTTGTAGTGTATTTTCACGGTTTACTCCGGTTTAGGCCGGTTTGTTGGTTCCACTAATCATTGAGCAACCAAACAAACGAGACTGGGGAGCAAGCCTTTCTCCATTTCCATTGGGCGATGAGCAACTAGGGTGTAAGTTGCCGAGATATGAAAGTTTTGTTTCTGAGTCAATTTCTGAGTCGTTTGGGGGAAGAGGGAATATGCAAACACCAGCCTGGATGGCGGCTTGCAACCTTTAAATTAGCACAGGTTCCACAACATATGGAGTCTCATTGGCCAACAAGCTCTTGCCCATACATACATTGCACATGTTTCTTGTGCTTGGCAGCAAGCTGGTGCTGGTCCACTGGTTGCCTCGCTTGGCAGGCCGCGGCGGGTGCTGCCTACCAGGCGGTGTCAGCCACGGGCTGGAACCACACCCAGCGCCAGGCGGGGGTCCAACTTCATCGCACAGGTCTTGTGAGACCATCCTCTTCCAAGATTGCAAAAGACTACGCCCACATCACCCCTGATATTATTCACTAGTCTACGACTCTCTGAGTCGATTTTGATGGGTTCTCAACATTTCTCGTGGGGTGCTTTGCCTTCAGCCACCAAGACAATGTCACTTTCATGGACCCAGAATTGGCAGCCCCATCCCTAAAACTCGAGGGAGGGTTAGGACCGGCCAGTGAAACTCAGAATTCGTGGGGAAGGCACGCCAAAAGGAACTGGGGACACCTACCCCTTGACTTTCAAGCAATGGGGGGCACCCAACTCAAACGACATGGTCAAAGCATGTTGCCATGACCCGTCAGGAGGTGCTCTCGCAGGTGGCTGGCCTTTCAGCGGCCCTTCACGCCAAGGCGGTGTCCGGTTCAATAGTTCAATAGTTGGCTCCGGCAGGTCCCAACCACCGAAACCCCCGTTACAACAAAGGCTCCACATTTGGCCTCATAGAGCCTTCCGTGTCCTTTGTGCATGGGACCCACGGGCGCTTCATCTTACCTGCCCTCCCAAGTTGGCCATGGCAAGTGAGAGAGATCCGTACCTCCCCACAGGCGCCATGTTACTGGGAGGAAGGGCACATTGCCTTACTCTTGTTGAAAATGGATCTGTCTTCTTTACAAGGGCACCCTCTTGTTATAGGTTTGATGTTAAGTGTGCTGATGTGTAGGCCGGTGTTCTTGTGTGATTTGGGTGGGTGAGGCAAGACTTTTGGCCACATCGCAGGGCCTTGGAAATTCTTGAGGTGATTTGTCCTGTACCATTTCCAGGCAGTGCCTTGTTCGAGAAATCCGTTTTCCATGTTTAGGCTGGTTCAGGCAAGGACTATGTGATCCAGCTTGGACTCAAAGAAGGCGGCATGCCAAACGCTTTCTGCATAAATTTGGGGCTCATCGACTGACACACGTGCGGGCCATGATGCTCGCGTGGTCTCAGCGACGCATTAGGCCCTGAGTCCCCTGAACGGCTGGGGACGTCCACCCACCAAGCCTCGGATTCGGCCCGCTCGCACGAATCGGAGGCGCAAGGCTTGGACCTGCAGAAGCAGCGTGATGCGGCACGGAACGTGCTGGCAGCAGGCGTGGGCGGGGAGTTTGAAGAGAAGGGATGGGTGCTTGGGCTTGGTAAGTGCCGTTTGGTGGGGCTGAGAAAAATCATGAATATCGTGTAATACTGGCCAAGCCGGAAGCTTGTATGGCAAAGGGTTCTGGCTAGCTCTCTGATTTGCGAACATTCGCCTCCAGGCGTTCTATGGGTGAAATTCCCTCCCATGAAAGTTATGGGAAGGAAATGCAATAACCTCCCTCCGCCACTCACTGATGTTGGACCTGGCAGGTGTGATCCCTTTACCCCTCCGCAAACTATGATTTAACCGGGCGTCCGCAAGAAGATTCCTCTGAAGTAACGGTGTTGGGCTTCTATGTGGTCTTGGGGTTTTTTACATAAGTCTGGGGAGTATAGGCTCCACTTGGGGCACAGGCGCGGCGCCAAAGCGGCTGGCGAAGGAGATCGACACCGCCATGGCGCGGAGGGAGGGGAAGCGAGGGGTCCAGCCCTCGCTCGAAGGGTCGCATGTGGTTGAACAGTTGAAAGATGATGAACAGGTGGTTGGCCCAACTCAGCTAAACAACAGATCCAAAGGTTGACAAGACGATCCATGGGTCAACAAAAGCCTTCAAGGTTCGGAACATGTGACTTCCACATACCCTGGCACGCATTTGTTTGAGCATCCCTTTGCCTTGATGTGTGCTCAGTGTTTGGCCATACCGGTGGGTCGTGTTCATGCTGTTTACTCTATTCGAAGTTGGTTTCACCCTTTCAGCTTCATTGTTTGGTCGCCGTGCTCCGACTGCCATTTTGTCTGGCAAGTGCCATGCGCAGTCTTTCCTAGAGAGGGCGGGGACTTCTGCAAAGCCAAACTTGACCCCCAGATGTCGCTCTTTCAGCCTGACGTGGCCCATCCGGCAGGCGACAGAGCTGAAGGTCCGCAATATCGTCAGCAAAGGCGCGGATCTGATGGAGGTTGGGAGGTTGGGGAGGTTGGGAGGTTGGGAGGTTGGGAGGTTAGGAGGGGTAGGACGAGCCTGCGCATGGACGGCGAATGATGCAGCGAGATCGGCGGAGCACTGCGCTGGGGTGGTTTTGCCCCAACAGTTGTTTGCGCTCATTGGTACGCGGAAACTTGTCATGTAACCCACCTCTTGTTTGAGGATTGAGGACTGGGTCAGGTAAGTGCTGACAAGGAATTAAGTCGGTCGAAGGCAGTGCGCAGGCAATCGGTACAGATATTTGCTTTTCACAGCTTTTGCCTGGGGCTGCATATCGCGCCTCGTGCAGACCCAGCAGCAGCGAATTTGGTGTGGGTCGGCGACGGCTTCATGAAGGCAGGGCACCTGTCTGGTCTGGATAGCAATGTGGGATAGGTGTTACATGTTACAACTGATCGGGAATGCTCCCCATCGAATGAGCCTGGGAGGCCTAGGGGCCCCTCCCGAGTGCTTTTCGAGCTATCCATATCACTCCAAGATCTCGGGCCCTCGCGGTCAGGCCTTCGAGGCGGCCCGGGTGCGGCAGCCCTCACAGGCGGCACTGCAGGCCGCCGCCTTCAGAGGCGCCGGAGGCGCAAGTGGATAGAGATGCCGAAGGGGCAAGAGGTCGGGGCTATGTGGTCGTTTGAGGCCATTTGCTTTTGGTTGCTGCTTGGCACACTGAGATGTAGTACGCCACAGCCCTTAGTCCATGTCAACTGGAGGCTCTTGCCACCAAAGTCACGGATTGGAGCAAAAGGCGGCTTATTCCCCTGCAGCTAAGGAGGTTTCTCTACAACTGAAGGTGTTTGGGGATCAATGTGAAATTGCAGGGGAGTATGCTCTTTCCAAGCTGCCAGGCCATCCTTTGCTGGTAGAGTGTCAGGTGAAAGGCAGAATGTGTCAGGTGTTGCAGTGTGAAGCGATTGGATTGCTACGCGCATTGTCCATCCGGCCAGTCATAGCTCAGACTGCTCGCATCTGCTCGCCAACAGACGGCGGCAGCTGGCCCTCAGTCAGTTTCAAGCGTTGCATCAGCTATGTCTGCAGTGGTTTGCAGTTTGACACCCCAAAGTGGCCTGCAATCCGAACGCACATGGGAAGACCACGGCAGAACAAATTGCCGTGGAAGAAACAACTTTAACACTGGAGGGCCCAGCGTTCCCAAAAAATACAGCCCTCTCAGCTAGCCCTTGCTCTGCCAAGCGGCCATGCCGCCAAAGAAGCTTAAGAAGCTGGGGCTGAAGAAGAAGAGGGCGAAGCAGATCACAAAAGAGCCAGAGGACAGGGGCTGACGCTTCTGAGACTTCTGCATGGCTTGGTCCTCTTCGAAAGCTGCAAACAATTGAGAGCTGTCTTGCGTGTGGGCCTGATTGGGTGGGGCCTGATTGGAGATAAGTGCTGGGCACAAGACGTGTTGGTGCCTTTGCTTTTGGACCGGGGCCTTTAGTCTTGGGAGCCTGAGTTCTTCGGTACTGCCCCATAGGAGGCAGCTGACGACCCGACCCGTGAGCAGGCCGTGATGCTGCGAGGGGGAGGTTTGGTGGGACAGGGATCGCTGCATGGAATTGTGCCACTTCAGCTTGGCTTTCATCCTGGTGGCCTGTAGTCATTTAGAGCTGTACGCAAGCAATGGCAAGAGGATGTGAAGGCTACTTGGGCCTGGCACGAGTTATCTTACTGAACCATAGAAACCATAGGCCACCAGTTCAGTTGGTTTCTTCGTATTATTTTTTGGTTCGGGAGACTGCGTGCCGCTCGAGGCCCCAAAACCAAGCGAGCCGGTGCCGGAGCCCGAGCCGGAAGCCGAGGATGCGCCCAAGGTGGACAGGCGGGTGGAGCTTTTCACCGCACGGCTGTGTGTGAAAGGTTTTTTGGGTGCCGTGTTTGCTCGGTTTGATGATAGCATTTTCGAGGTTCCAAATCCTTACTTGAAGCTACCCAAATGCAGGCTCTCAAATTTGCAAACTTGGGAGCAGCCAGTGATTAGGAATCACGAGGACCTGAACATGGGCAACTAGCAATGCAAGGCCCTTAAGACGGATGCACGTAGTTGTTTCAGTCAACATTGCTCACAGGGGCGAGTTGGGCATGATCATTTGTTTCTGGATTGCTAGCCTCCGCAGGGCCTAAATGTTTTGGATGTTACATCTTAGGCAAGCTTACTTTTTGGTTTTCCAGCCTGGCGAGTCAAATTTGCTTGAGGTTCAGGTCTGGAGCCCGCGCAGGTGGTTCCTATCAATCGAAGGGACTTGATGCTTGCCGGTTGCCTTTTTTCGCATGGGCAGGAAGGGAGTAATCCACCTGGCGTCGATCCCGCTGTGCATGGGCATCCAGAAGCTCCGCCACATCATGGAGCAGTTCGGCGAGGTGGGCCGGGTGTACCTGGCGCCTGAGGACTGCTGCCAGTGCAAGTGGAGGGTGTGCCTCTCTGGCCCCAGGGCAAGTAGCGTTGCGTTCTGTAGCATGCCCGTATGTTGGCGAGCAGCCTCATCAGGTCGGCCTACTCGTCGATGATGCTAAGGTATCATAATGACACCCATCATGATCAGTCATTCATGGCCTGGTGACCCGTCACACGAACTCCGCATGATGCAAAAGCAAGGCACAAGCCAGGGTGACAACCGAGCACGTACATACAGGGGACTAGTAGCCCGCTCCAAAGCGACGCAGGGTGACAGCCGAGTTTTCCCATCTCCTTGGGTATATATGATTGTCCGGGGCAGCACAGGTCATCACAGGTTGAACACAGGCCAAAGGGTCAGGCCGAGGCTGTCAAGCTGCATGCACTCCGCTTGCAGCGCAGGACAAGGTCCGCCATCAGAAGCTTGGCATGCTCGCGGTTTGTTCGGCAGAGGCAGCATCCTTGTTTGGTTGCGACTCATTCCCCGCGTCCGGCCAACAAATAACTAACTGATACTGCAAACTGTGTGGGTTGTTGGCCTACTGCCCCCTTTAAATTGTGAAGAGGCCAGGTTCGGCTCACTGGCACGGCCTTTCTCGCGCAAGTGACCTTGAAAGGATGCGGTACTCCTGCGCTGAGGAACCGCAAGCGTTCCGGCGGCAGCCGGAAAGTGCGCTTTACCGAAGGATGGGTCGAGCTGCGCGGGCTGCATCTTATGTGAATGCATCTCTGCAATGTATGGGGACATATCAGAGGCTCGAGCGCGTGTGTATGTCGTGTAAGGACTTGGCACTCGTTTCTCCATTGCATGCCTAAATGCTCTGTTTTGCCTTAGCAGCTTTGAGCACTGCGCATTCTTGCGTAGCTCCCTCACCAAATGCTTTGCTCATGAAGCAGCTTGAATGCAACAGCCCAGGTTTGCTGATCGTCGAGTGGCGCGGCGTGTGGCGGAGAGCTTGAATGGCAGCACGATTGGTGGGTTTCTCGCCTGCAGTTCGCGTCCTTCAGTTTGCTGCAGCCTGTCCAGCGTGAGAGGGTGGCCATTCCGGACTAGACGTGGGTGTATCCCGTCTGGTTGCCTCAGGCCACCTGAAAGAGTATATGTACATACAGATATATCTGTGCAATGTCAGCGCCCTCGAAACTGGAAAGGCAGCTACCAAGTAATACTTTGGACTTAGCTTGCTGCTGGGCAGCCTTGTAGCGCGTCTCTGACCTTGCAACGTGCTAAGGAAGAAGCGGCACAACTTCTTCCGCGACGACATGTGGAACATGCGCACCTTGAATTAGCTAGCTCTGGGGACATGAGCTCAGCCCTGAGCGAACAGTTCTTTCTTTATTGCTTGTAGGTTCGGATTTCCCCTTTCCACAGTTGCTATCAAAGCCAATAATTGTTCCTCTGAGATCCAAAGTTAAAGGTAGAACATTTGCGTGCTGTACTGGTATTCCTCACAATTTGTTAGAATCTGAGCATGTTTCTATTGATAACTATCCCCATCATTTGTACTTCTTGGTATGCCTTTTTGGAAATTCCAGATTGATGATTACATCTTGGATGCGACCCTTTGCCGGTGATTGGTAGGCGATGAAAGGAGAGCGGTTTTATGAATCTCTTATCCGCTCTCCATCAGTTTCCCTTCTCTTGGTCGAGTGGCAAGGGAAATGGCGAGGAGCAGATGGCAGTGAATCCCTTGTCATTCGCTCCCAGTACGGAGTTGGGGGCAGCCTGGCATTAGTGGACAGGCTGGTGGAATGCGAAAAACATGGAATCGCTAATAACTCCCATCCCACGCTTGAGGCCTCCTTCCCGTCAACTGAAGTCCCGCCATGACCTTCCAAACGAGCCTAGTCCGTGAACCGTGCAACTCAGGATGACTTTTGCCCCATTTCGGGTTACTTGGGAGGCGCAATGATAAGTTTGTTTGGGATGCTTCGGGCTTTGGTTCTGAGCTGGCGAGGCTACCTGCCCGGCTTCAAGTGGCACATGCTGAAAGAAGGGACGATCTACAACCAGAGCCCCAGCTGCAAGCCCCGCAATGCAGATTCTTCTGTGAGCTATTTACGTCATTACGGCCATTCCAGAACGACATGTTCTTGGCCACAAACCAGTGCACAAGTTGTGACGCCGATACGGCGAGGGCCATGGAACGTTGCTGAGGGAATGCATCAGCTTCCCCATCGGGTGGTTGCAAGGGCCATGGGGGTACAGTTTTGGTGCACCTGCCCATGTCTGTTGACGATATATTTTGTTTGATCAGCCGCACCTTCCCAAGTTCCAGTCCGATCTGAGGCAAGTTCGCAAAGCCCGCTTGCAACAGCGCATGAGCCAGGCGAGCGGGGAGGGACGGCAGTAATTACTGTGTTCGGGTTTTGGGGCGCCCCTTACTGAGACATCCACTTGTTGGCCGAAGTGCATCTGCATTGGCTGAGGGAGGCTTCCGCCTGCCCAGGCAACGCGGGAGAATAGCTTCTACCTCGAAAGTGTCGAGAAGGCGCCGCCAGCCGACCCAACAAGACGGAAGACAATCGGGAGAGAGCGAGAGAGAGAGAGAATCGGACACATCGCCAGATTGCAGCGGCAGCTCGAGCTGACTGAACAGATGAGCGTGGTATCGTTTGTCAGTGTGTGCAAAATTCTAGCTTGTGCTGTGGTGTATCCAATTTAGGGTTTGGTCACGACATGTATCATCGTAGCTGACTTATTTTGGTGATCGCAGCTAGCAGACTGGCGCCGGTCAGCGCAAGTTCTGCCGTCAATGAAAAACCACACGAAGGGATACTCTGGATACTCTCCGATCGCAGCTCCGAACTTCGCCGCATGGCGCAGGCGAAGACCCGCGAGAAGATCGCGGAGCGCCGGGCGGCCCGCGGCAAAAACGGCGACGAAGGAGCGCCGCCACCGCCCCCGCGGATGGCGCTGCCCCGGCGAGAGGCGAAGAGCGGGGCACCGAGCGCGACGCGCTCAGCGGGTGCCTTGGACACTGGCTGCGTACAGCGGCTGCTTGGGGTTGAGCTTCGGGGTTTGGGAGCGGGGCATGGTACGTAGGAAGAGGGCTGCCTTGCAAACAACCATAAACAATGAGAATGGATCATTCGCAAGTCGAATCGCTTCCATGGCGTGGGCAAGTGTTTGCTTTCAGGGCGCTGGAATGGAGACCCTAGGGGAGCGTGATTGTTCCTGGAGCCTCCATTGCTACCTTCATTTTTGCTACGACATATTTTGCTCGTGACACGTTCTTCTCAAAAAAAAGCTCGTTTTAACAGAAAGTGCTCGAGACATTTGCGCTCGTTTGCGCTTTTTTGCGCCGATTTGCGCTCGTTTTGCACTTTTTTTGCACGTTTTTGCGCCCGTTTTGGCGGCAACTTGACCATGGGGAAGGAAAAAACACGGCCGAATGGGATTTCTGCCCGAATCGTCAAAAAGCGCTCGGAAGCGAATGGGAGGCCAAAAGTGCTACGTCGAGTCAATTTTGGTATCGAACAAGGGGGGAGGCAGAAATTTATGCTACGATGGAGGTTCCAGGTTTGAAACGCTTGGGGCTTTGGACGTGAACAGTGGGTATTTATTGCTGACCATACCCTCGCTTGGCTTGTCCCATTGGCAGATTCAGATGATTGCATCATGCGCGCCGGGCTTGTCGAAATGAGAGTGGGCAAAGGGTTGGTTAGTTCACGTTCTGCTTTGCTGGCCGAAACTTTGGTGTAGAGTATACATGTAGGCTGGGCTTTCGGGCTGAGTTTGGCAAGTTCAGGCTTGGCTCATGGCCAAATGAGGCTTTCCGTAAATAGCTGTATTCGTTTTTTAGTGGCTAGTGGCGGTGGCTATGTTGGTAAGTAAGTGAACCGCAGGCCGCGGAAGCGGCACGGAAGCTGCGACCTGTTATGTTCTTTCAAACTGTTGGCTTGCTTTTAAGAATGTTACACGCTTGTACCGAAAAGTGACGATTCTCAAGCTGGATCTCGGAAAGTGCACCTCGCGTACTACGTTTGTGTATGAAAAATTCGAGATCAACGAGCTGGAGCTGAGAAAGTGGCCTTCGCGTACTACATTTGTACTAAAATTTGCTATTCTCGAGCCGGAGCTCGGAAAGTGCCCGACGCGTACTGAAATAAAAACCCCGCGCCTTTTCGTTATGTAAGGGGACGTCCCTTAACTTGTTTTGCAGGCCCAACCCATTGTAAACAGAGGAAAAAAACGATACCCCCAGAAGCCATCAAGACACACATCAGGTCCAAGCTGTTGTCGCAAACCAAGATTGCGGAATCAGACATTTGCAGGCAAACCGATACCCAAGCCGACGCCCAACTCAATAGCTGCTGTACAAATCAAAATGACCATGCCTGGACAAGAAAACGGTTTTGTTTGAACGATGCCCCAAACGATGCCCAAACGATGCCCATATCGCTGGCATAGCCCGCAAACTGGAACCAAGAGCCGGTCCCGGAATGTTCTCGAGATCTTCTAAGGAGATGCCTTGGTCTGGATCTGCTGAATAACCAATCGCTCTTTCACAGCTGACCAGAGCAGATGAAGAGCATTCGTAGTTATGGATGTTGTAGAAGGTACGTTTTGCGTGGAAGCGGAGGGATCGCCGCTTTTTTCTCAGTGTTTTACGGAAACCCTCAAATGAATCTGGGATTGTGGCGCACGTGCGAGGGTTGGGGTTGCGCGTTTAGGGTTGGCTTAGCGTTGACTTGTCACCTCTTGCCGACTTTCGTGTTCTCTCTCTCTCTCTCTCTCTCTCTCTCTCTCTCCACATGCACACTTAAAAAAGATGAGGCGTGCATCGCAGAGCTTTTGGCCATGGACATCGCAAGTATAGTGACTACAGTGCACGCAGGCACAGCCCCTCTTGCATCCTCGAATGAGCCATGAGCGGCCAAAGGCCAATCGGAGCAAGAGAACAATGGTTGGCACTGGCTCACACGTGTCGGGTTTTGCACACTTTGCGAGGCGCGGGCTTGAGATCATTCAGAGTGGACCGTGCATTGGGATCCGAGGCCCCGGCGCAATTTCTGACCGCGTGCTCAGCAAGCTGCTGTGAGTTGCCTCCAGGGTAGCGCTTGCTTGGTAATCACGAGGGGTTCCAACAAAGGATGGCCATTCCCTTTTAGAGCTTTTACCCAGGCACTTGGGCCGCACGCCCATCCGTAAGATCCGCGTCCCTGGCAGCAGAGGCTTGGCCGAACGGACAGGTGCAGCGCGGCCAATGCGGTTTCACTTGGACGGAGGAAGCGGTTTGAATGATGGCAGTCAAAAGAGCGGTGGCAGCTCGGAAAGCGGATGCATGTTGCCACCACCAGCGCTGTAGAGAGCTTCTTGGCATACACAGGGAATATTAAAGCCGATGCTGGTTGGCACATCCTAGGAGGCTTTTGCTTCATAGGACTTTGTTTGCAAACAGCTGCATTGCGGAAGGCTAAACTAGAGACGCAAGTTGGCATTGTGTTGCTTGCTTTTGGCGGTGTTCTGGCAAGGGCTTTGAGGGGAAGAGTTTTCGAACTGATGGCCGATATTGGCGTCCATCCCGCCAAGATTCGTCTGACCGATTACACAGACGCACACACAAGAACAGAACACACACACAAACCAGCCACCCACACACGCATAAAAGAGCGCACACAAACATGCACACAACACACACACACACCCACACCCACACCCACACCCACACCCACACCCACACCCACGCGCACACGCACACGCACACGCGCCCGCACTCGCACGCGCACCCGCACGCGCACACGCGCACACGCGCGCACGCGCACACGCGCACACGCGCGCACGCGCACACGCGCACACACGCACACACGCACACACGCACACACAGACACACAGACACAGAGACACACAGACACACAAGCGCACACACACAAATGCGCACACACACACACACACAAACGCACAAACACACCCACACACACCCACGCACGAACGCACGCACAAATACACAAACACAAGCACACGCACACACCACACACACACAAAAAGACAACGCAGACACAAACACAAGCACGCATACGCAAACACAAACAAACACACACACACACACACATTACACATTACACACACAAACGCGCACACACGCACAAACACACTCACACAAACACAAGCACACAAACACAAGGATCACAGACTAATCACAGAAACACAATTACAAAGACAATCGTAACATAACAAACAAATAGAATCACAAACAACAACCACAAGCATACACACGCAACGGCACAAACACATATACAAACACCACACACGCACAGTCACAGACACGCAAACAAATCCACACAAACACGAAGACAAACACACACACAAAAACACATACACATGCACCAACTCTCACCCACATGACACACACAAACGCGCACAAACACAACGACGCATACACAAGCATCACGGAAGCACAATTACAAAGACAATCGCAACATAACAAACATACACACACACACATAAACACAAACACACAAACACACGCAAACACACACACAAATACATACACACACACATACACGCGCACCAAATTCACACAAACACAACCACATATACAAGCGCACACACACAACCACACAAACACAAGGATCGCAGAAAAATAGTTACAAAGACAATCGCAACAGAACAAACATACACACCATAAACACAAACACACAAACACACAAACACAAACACATACACACACACACACTCACAGCACGCACGCACCCACCCACCCACCCACCCACCCACCAAAGACACCCACCCACCCACCAAAGACACCCACCCACCCACCCACCCACCCACCCACCCACGCACGCACGCACGCACGCACGCACCCACACACACATACACATACACATACACACACATACACACACATACACGCATACACACATATACATACACACATACACACATACACACACATACATACATACATACATATACATACATACATACATACATACATACACACATACACACATACACACATACACACATACACACATACACACATACACACATACACGCATACATACATACATACATACATACATACATACATACATACATACACATACATATACATACATACATACATACATACATACATACATACACATACACATACATACATACATACATACATACATACATCCATACACACATACATACATACATACATACACTAGAATCACACAAACACACACATATATTTATATGTATACACAAGCGCACACACAACCATCACAAACAAAGAATTACAAAGACAATCAACAAATAATTGCAAAGACAATCGCAACAAACCAAACATACAGAAGCACAAACACACAAACACACACATACACACACACACACGTGTCTTAGATGCCCCGAATGCACCAGGGGATGCGGCCAGCCTCCAAGTGCAAGAAGCGGCGGCCAAGGCTCAGCGCAAGGCGCTCCGTGCGGGCGCCTTGCCCTGCAAGCGGGAAGCTGGGCGTGACAGGGCTCCCAGAAAGATACGAGGGCCGTGAGTCTGCCATTAAAGCAGTACCTATTTCCACACCAAAAGGAGACTATCCGTGTCGTGCTGAGTTGAAAGGGGCGGGACACGTTCAGCTGAAACATGTAAGAACTCCTGTGTGGGCAAAAACGTGCAAAACTGCAATGGAGTACTTGACATGCAGTGCGAGACAGCCATTCAGCTGTCACACGCCTCCAACGTTGGTCCATTCAAACCTTTCCCAACAATGGGTTGGGGTCCCCAAAAGGGCCTTTGATCTCAGTATAATTCCATCGAGATAAATCGAGCCACAATCATCTAGTCATCGCCTTCCAACACTCGGTGACATGCATGGCACCCGCCCAATTGCGAGACCTTGTCGGCAATAAGTGGCAACAAGTAGCAAGCAGAGAACGGGTTATGCTGACACTCATGCCCAAACCAAAGTCTTAGGACTTAGGATTTCTTCTGTAGATTTGGTTTTTCTTTGCGTAAGGCACTGAGAAGGGAGACTTAGGCATGAACGTATATTTTTCTGTTTCTTATGACCCGGTTGGCGTTTTTTTCTGGCCCAGGCTCCTCCGTGGCTGTGCAGGCGGCCGCGGCCGCGGAGGCGGCCAACCGCAGCGCTGCGGAGCTGGGCTTGGAGGCCACTGGGAAGAGTGCGACCTCGGGAGCTTCGCTTTGGTCCTCAGTCGTTATCCGATGTTCGGTGCTTTTGGTGAACCAACACACCCTTCAAGCCGGCGTGGTTGTACTTGAACAGCCATTATCGGGACAACTGCTGAACTGTTTGGCTGACTATGGCTGACATACTCATGTCAAAGAATAGTTTGTTCGACTGGTCTGTCCCCACTGGGCACTTCTTGTATGTCCAACATGCCATGTGGGGTTACAAAAGGACTATAGACAGTTGAGGCATGTACCTCAATGGCGGACGTGCCTTCAGGACAGCCTGGTGTTGGCGGCTGCCAGCGCAGCCGTTCTCTCTGGGGCGCCAGAGGCGCAAAGCGCCGAGCTGGCCGGGGTGCCCCAGGAAACCGGGCCGTGGCCCATATGGGCACGTCCCTGCGATTAGGATACATTTAGCAAATGGGAGCCAACAACAAATCAATCATATTGTGGAGTCCCTTCTCTGGGACAACTCCGTGTGGTGACAGCTTGACGGGTCTCAAATTAGATGAACTTTCTAGAGCGTGGCCACCCAGCGAGGTACCTTGATGCTAGTTTCAAGCGACGCACAACCCTGAAAGTCGCGCACTCGCTGCGACAGCTCTTACATGTTTATGGCACATGTGTAGCAAAGCTGGGCGTGCAAATGTCACAAAGCTTGCATGCTGGAGGAAGCCCGAGTGTAAAGGCCACAACTCCTGAAGTTTGCTTGTTCCGGAACATTGGTGCAGTTTATCACACGTCTACCTGATAGTCGAATCATGCCAACAAATACAACGCGCACTGCACCTCTTCACAAAACCATGCCAACATCAAGAAACGCTGGAACACCTGAAAAGCGTCAATACAGCAGGGCAACTCAACCAGAACGCAAAAACATGGCCGCTTTTGCAACTGACTTTCAGGCGTTGTGTTTCCCTGGTGTGCATATTGAGCCTCACATTTGGCAAAAGCTCCAGTCGCTGACTGACGGCTTCCCCCCTGTTTGGCGAAGCGGCTGGGCACTGTGGATCGAGTAGCTGGGGATATGGCCAGCATTTGGCTCGCTGTATTGGAGGTCTGGCAAAATATGTGATGTGCAAACTGCACTGGTAACACCCGCGCTGAGGCCCTGAGGTTTGGGTTGCGACCATCCGCGTTGAAATTTGTGTAGGTGTTCCAGGCAGGCTCCTTGGCCACGTCACGAGGCCCAGCTGGCGGAAAAGGCCGCAGAGGCGCAGGGCTTCGGCCCCTTGGGCCAGGCAGAGGCGCGGTCCCGGCATGCATAGGCCTGGAGTCGAATGAGGGGTCATGACTCCATGTGTGGGTCATGAGACTGCAGGTAGGGCTTTTTCAAATTGACTTGTGATCTTCATCCAAATGGGTGGTAAGCAGCCTGCACGAACGATGTTAACCAGCAGATATCTAATTATTGGATATGTATTGGTTTTGAATGCTTGTGTATCGAGTGAGGGCTAGTTGGGTATCGGCGTGGCAGGAACCACTACCACAACTGCAGTTGGGGTCGGAAAATTGATACTTAAAGGTTTGGAAACACCGATGGATATTTATTGGAGAGTTTCAACATCAGTAGGGAGAAGGGGTTTCTTTTGCCCCTTAAACCCTTACAGTAGCAACCGGGGGCCCGAAGAAACATCATTACTATTATATTCTGTTTGCTTGGTATTGGACAGGCAAAGGCGCGATCATGGCAGGCGGCCGCCTGGGCTGCGGCCACCGGGGCAGGTGGAGGCGCAAAGAGGGGGGGGGAGTTTTTTTTTGGGGAGGGGGTAAAGGTCATGTCAACGTGTTCTTTGCATGTTAGGGCGCAGATTCAACGGAACTTGCGAGTTTCCGCAGTCCCTTGTTTGTTTTATTGGTGTGATGCGCTTCACTCTGTGCTTCAGATACCTTGTGAGAGAGCAGGTGTTTGCCAGTGACATGGGCAGAGGCTTCAGCTTCAGAATGGCAAGCCACAGCTGCACACCCTGGAAGCTCTGGCTGCTTCCTTGGCCAAAAGGTCGGCCATCAGCCATCAGCCCCCAACTCTGCAAGAACTTGCAGGCGTCCATTGTGTTCCCTTGGACTTCGGAATGTTTGGGTTTCTTTTTGGATACCACTGGAAGCGTCTGGTGCTTGTAAAAACCACCCGCTTGTTTCCACTGGCGTCTGCTGAACTCTTGAAGCCGATTGTTTCTTCCAGAAATTTCCACAAAGAACCTGTCTGTCTAGTCTATATATGTTTATGTCCGTTTTTGAGGGCAAACTTCAAAGGGCAGCCAACGGGAAACTGCCACATGGGTTTAGGGGGATCTAAGGGGAGCGGAGCGGTGCTCAGGCGCCGTGGCCGCAGCGGAGGCTTCGGAGGCGGTGCGACCCCATGAAGAGGAGGGGGGGTTTAGATGGGCTTGGGGATCGGAAGAGGGAGCCAAAGACAGATGGGTTTCCTTTCAAAACCAAACAGAAAACATGGAGCCATTTGGGAGGTTTGCCCGTGGAACCAAAGGTGACTTCCCCCAACAAGTGGGTGACGTCAAAGGAAACTGCGGATAGATCTCTCTATGACTCATCATTCAGGAAGGCCCCGAATTCAGAAGCATCCTGGAAGAAGGCCATGGGAGCGCGTAGGCCTGGAACTGTTGGCGAGGCATTTTACGCGGCATGTTTGCCCAATGCCCTGCAGATTGGAGTGGCATACATGCAGGGGCTTGCTGCTGTATGCCGCGCTTCCAATCACCTGGGACCTATTTGGTGTAGGAGTACAAAGTCCCAGCAAGGTTAGCATGGGTGTCGGGCTACCTGTCTTGACACGGCCACGACTCGGTGGGTATTCCATGTAGAAACCATTGGCGTTCTCCATTGTTCGCCTTTACAAAAAGCCTTTCTATCTATATATATATATGATACACACTCTCTCCAGAGACTGGATGGACTGCGCATGAGAAAGCTACACAAGGGCGAAAAACTCGAGAACTGGAAAATAGAAGGGCCGCGAAACCGGCCTTGCGCCTGAATTAGGAATTCGGCCCTTCTGCATTCTGCATGTGCGCAAACCACCTCGGTCACAATGCATGACAGAGGCGGGTTCGGACAGAGTTCGGCACGGGTTCGGAGCGGTCTCGGAGCCGTGTAGCGCGGGCCCCTTCTTCGCCGCCTTCAATCGGTGAACCCTCTGCTCGACCTTGAACAACTCGTGGTTGTTACAATTTTAACTTCGTGCTGGGGAGTCAGAGAACAAAGAAAGAGAGAGAGAAAGAGGCACAAAACAGAGAGGAAGTGAGAAAGACAGAAAGGGAAGGAGACGAAGGGGGGGAAACGAGGTTCGAACCATAGTTCTTCCATGTGCTTCCATCTTTAAAACTTCCACTCAGGCTCTGCCGGACTTTGCTGGTATTGACCGTACACGAGCTTCACAAGGATCTTCAAGCGGGAAGCACGTGGAGTGCTCAACAGCATTCGCCACCGCGCCTATCCAGTTCTCTCTTGGCGCTGCTTTCAGTTGGTGCATCCAACACCCAGAACAGGGGAGCCATGCTGCATTCCCTCACGGGGCTCAGGAACAGTTGTTGGCCATCGTATAGGCTTGGAAGGGGCGGGGCCATTGAAAGGAGCTGCCGGAGGTGCAGACAGCTGCTGCGCAGCCTGGCAAGTTGAGGGCGTGGGAGGGGTCTGAAATGGGGAACGCTTCTTTTGTACATGTTTCGGTGATCGACGTCTGCAGGCAGCAGGAGGCAATGATTGTGAAGGGAGGGCATGGCTGCGCACCAAGGAGTGTTGCCATGGAGGGTGCCTGGGAGCGTCCCAAGAACAACTTCGGAGCCTTGGGGCGGGCAGGGGGCATGGCCTTTGTAGGTGCCGTTTCGGCTTTGGAGTCTAGCAGCTTCTGTCAGATTGCAGTGGATATTGTGCCGCATGGCCCGCCCAAAAAGTCCAGTATATAATGCCGTGATTGTCCAGCGCTCTGCTGCACTTGTAGGGAATTGAGCATTCATTTTTTTCTGACGCATTTGCATTGCCCAAGCCACTGAAGGAGAACTCATGGAGTCGCAGCAGGTCTTTGGCCACGAGATGCCTCGGTCCCAGAGAGTTGGCTTCGCCTTGCAGGGCTTTGGAAAGGCCGCGTGATCCGTGTGCGTCTTCCGATTACTCGAGGTGGTTCTGCAACACTGGGCACACATCCCACATCGACTTTCATTTCTTATAATAGTGGGATGTATCGGTCCGTACTTGCCAAGGTCATTGCATCTGGGCAGAAGCGACCCCAGGATGCACGAAACTGAAGGCGCGCTTTGCAAGGGTCGGTGGATATTTGCGGCAATTCCCGATGCAGCATGGAGCCCAAGCTGGGCCAGCAAGACTACGATGTGTGTGGCCCAAAAGTCTCAAAAGCTGAGATGGTCTGTATGATCTGAATGCCTAGAGCCAGAAAGAGAGAGAGAGAGAGAGAGGGAGGGAGAAGGAGAGAGAAAGAGAAGGGGGGGGTGACGTGCTGACAAGCTTGCCCAGGTGAGGACAGATTGAGCCGGGGCCCTAACTAAGCAAATGCCGTTTCTCCGCTTACCCTTTGCTTGTGATCAAGCGCATACCCCCGCATGGCTTGGATGCCCTAGGAGACCCTCTCCCTTAAGGGCTCTTGAGCAAGATTTTTCCGCCTGAAATGACAAAACTATGCTTTCTTGGTCGAGGCAGCCAAAGGGGTTTGAACAGTTAACAGATTGGCGAGTCAAGCAGTCGCTTGAAGCAGCAGGCATAAGAGGAAGGCAATGCTGCCATTCACAGGGTGAGATGCATCTCTTGAGGCCTGCCCTTTTGGCTTCCGATCCTGGCGGCCTTTTTTTGCTGTCTGGGAATGGCCGGGGGCCTTGGCCTGGAATCGCTGACGGACATGAAAACCACCAACTCAACAGAAGAACAACACACAAGGCCCCAAGCCAAAGCATCCAAAGTACCCAAAGCTGGTGGCCCCTCGGGCGCTGGATGGAATGCAGCTTCTCTCCAACACAGCCAACTTGAATTGCTTGGGGTTTTGAGAGGCGCCTGTAACCAGCCTACTGGCCTACCTCGCCCAAGATAGGCCACACCTCGATCCTTTCGAAGAGGAGTTGGCCGAGGGGCAGCGTGGCAGCTTTCTCAGGTGGCTTGGCTGGCCAGTTGCAGGACACAGAAAGTAAAGAAGAGCCGGGAGCCCCAGCGTGTTCCCGCAAAGACGTTGCTCATGTCCATGGGAAGGAAGGCGGCAGCCTGCTTTTCCTGAGAAGGGCCAACCAACTGCGTGTTTTCAGAAGGCCCTTGAAAGGATACTGCAAGCAGTTTACAGCCTGCGTCACGTCAAACCGTCAATGACCCATTGGATGTTTGCAACATGCTAGAGCTCAGTTGGCCTTGTTCAAGCATGCGTGTCAAAACTAGGGCGCCCGTCCTGGATCATATCGCGAAGGACCTTTTGCGGAGCTCGCCATTTGCAGCGCAACTTGTTCTCACATGTTCTTGTTTGTGGCCGAGCGGGTTGGGCGCGACAGGCCTGCGCACTGCATCGGTGGATGCCAACCCAGAGGAAGAGACCTTGTTACCGAGCCTTGGCTGCATGGCGCCAACGTGCTGCTATGCTGCAGGGCCCTCGGATGCACAGGTGTGCGTGTGATGTTGTGCTTTATTTTGATGTGATTTGGTGGTTTTGTTCTGCGGCGGTGTGTTTGCGTTGTTTTTTGTTGCAGCTTGTTTAGTTGTTGTTTGTGCTTGTTGTTGTATTTAGTTGCATTGTTCCGGTGTGAATGCTTGATCGCTTGATTGTTTTGACTTGTTTGTCGTTTGTGTGTCTTACTCTTGCTTGTAGCCTCGCTGGCAATTGAACAAGCAGTGACAAAGCACTGCTTGTTTTTCGCTGGTTTGTGCGCTTCATCAGCCTAGTTGCTCCAAGGCCCAGCCCGTCCATAGGTGCTGAGATACCAGAGTTTCTTCTTCTCGCTGTCAAAGACCAGCGGGTCGCACCCCTCCACATTTCCCCTTGCTCTACGGCTCATGTCTGCACATATTCGACAAGCATATCCGCATTGTTTGACACAGATTGGTTGGCAGGCACAATACAGAGACCGGACAGGCACAGGGATTCCATTCCGGTGGCCGTGCTTCCTTGCTGCGGCCCAGGAGCTGCAAAGCAGGTGGCTGCAAAGACTTCGACAGGATGTTGCGGGGCGGGGGTTTGTGCGCATGAAGGAAGGGCTCCCACATACTTAGGGTACTAGCATCCCTGCTCGGGTTGTCTTGAATGGATCTTGTTTGATTGAAAATTTGCAAGGGTAACCTTGGCAGCTCAGACAGGATGCTTTTGTGTCTAGCAGCCTTAGCTTGTCAGCAGCAAGGCCTGGATTGAATTGGCGATCCATTTCAACACCTCTGCCCAGCAACTTTGATGCGTTCGCTACACGTAGTCAGTCCAGCAGCTTTCCCCGAGGATCAGCCACATCTTCTGAGAGGCCCCTGTAGCGTCCCATGCTTTGTTTATGTTTGTTTTATTGATTTGCAAGTGGCTGATTCCATGGCTTTCCGGTCGTTTTCTGCTTAATTGAATTCTGTTTGCCATGTCGGAGTTGCATTCGCCTCCCACCACGCACAGAAGCGCACAGCGCCCCTTTAACAGACAACTTTCCTTTTGGGCAAGCAAGGTCATGCGCAATTCCATCTTTGCTGGTGGGAGGGCAACCTCAGAAGTTTGGTGGCACCCTTATCCCCTGTATGTTATTTCTTCGGCCCCCCCACATGCTTCGTGCCATGCACTACGTCAACAATAGGTGTTAGGATTGCTAGGGTGGAAGCAGCAGGGCTGCCATTTTGTTAGAGTTCCCCGCTCCTGGGCAGCCGAAGGGATGCGCCGAGCCGCCCCCCTTCTCATCAGGAGCCAAGAGGCAGAAGAGCCGCCCACCGCTGAGCTGCCGGTGGTTGAGCGGCTCGGCGGGAAGCTGGAAAGTTGAGAGCTGAACAAAAGATACCCTGAGCCAAACCAACGGTGTCAAAGAGGCATGGAAATAATCCCATCAGTGTGTTGGTCATTTCGGGCAGGTTGTTGTTTGCATGATTGTGAGATGGCTTCTTTTGAAAACAGCTTCATTTGTTTGTGGTGGTTGTGTGATTATTGCGTGGCTGCTCGTTTGCGCTGCCCAACTTGCGGCCATTTGGGCGAGGAGAAATTGCTCAACACGTAGCAGCAACGCCCTACACCGCAAAAGTCATAGGTGAGTGTGTTTTGCGTGAATTGCGGCATCAGCGGATGCACAGAGAGTCACCTTCATGTCCAAGAGCTGATACGGGCTTGAGCGAACAGCTAAGATGTGGGAAGCTGTGGTTTGGCAAGGCAGGCCATGGCCTTTGGACGATCTCTCACATGGGACTGCGGGAAATTTGGAGGAGCGCTTGGGCCAAGGAAGTGCGCCTCGCCAGCTACAGAGGCATCGCCCAGCTCAGCGGTATCGCCGGAGACCTAGCGCATCATGTCTCTGACTGCCAGCTGACTGCGTCCTTTGGTGCCATGTTGGCGGTTTTCAAAGCAACTCTCTCCTCTCACGGACGTCGTCCATGCGCAACAGCTATCAACGTGACGAACTCCGATGTTTCTACACCCCACACGTTAAAACGAGCTCACCCATAGTGAAGGTCCCTCACTCAAGCGAAGGTTGGTGAGATATATAAGCGTGTCAAAGGATTCGTGCATTTTGGTTTACTTGCGCAGCGCCGAGCTCGCCACTGGTGTGAGTCATGAGTTGGTCGCCAGCCTCCGAGGCCGAGCTCGCCTAGACTGGCCTCCCCGACCTCACAAGGGGGGAGCCTTGGCGTAGCGGTGGCTGTGTCCATATCGTGGTCAAAGAGGTTTACAGCCACGAACAGGCTATCAACATAGAGGTAGAGGATGGCAGAGGGGCTTTGTGAAAGGAGAATGGTAAAATGTGAAACCCCGTAAACATGTCAAGGAAGGATGCTACTGCCAAGGTTGACCTGGTTTCCGACAATAGTTCGATCTTCGGTTGCCTGTATTGCCTCGCTGCAGTGATGCGAATGGTGGGGCTGAGTGAAGTTGGCTTCGTTCCAGGCAGGAACGCGGTGGAGACCTATCGGATTTGTCCGAATGGTGTGCGTGGGGAGGCGTTTTTGAGCTCAGGAGCTTGCCAACACTAGCGATGTGCCCTTCGCCAGTGGCAGAGCTGCCTGGGCCTGAGTGAAGCATATGGTTTCTTAAGTTGAACTCACCTCTGCCCTTTTCAGCTGTGCAGCGGGAAGCGCAGGTCAAGCCAACTGGAGAAACTGGGTTCCTACTTTGAGGAATCACTCCGATTGAAGCAGATCGGGCGATCTATGTAACTAGGTCAAGCGGTCATGCTTTGCAGCTGGGTTGGTATAGGTTGCTACTTGGATCCAGCCACCAACCCTCAAGGGGCATTAAGGGGAGCAAATTCCTGTCCAGACTCTTCGGCGTGTAAACAAGCAAGCAGAGGCCCACCAAATACTCCATGTGTAGTTTTGGCACTTTGCATAGTTCAAGCAGGGGCCTCCCTAGGTCTCATGCTTGGACTGGAGCATACCGGATCAAGCATTTGTTTAATTGACCCCCGGCATGCTAAGTTTGCAGGGGTGTGCCAATGAAGGCCCACCGCGAAAGGGGGTGTTTCGTGGCTGTTTTCGCCAAGGCAGAGCCTGGCTCCATCAAGCGGCCCGCTGCTGCGTCTTGCCCAAACATGGATGCACAGCTTTGGAATACATGCAGACGGATTGCAAGGAGCAGGTCGGTCATGTCAAAGCGTTAGTTTCGGGCCTTGGTTAAGAGGACGCCAAATGGCCGAGTCACTCCAAAGGCTTTGCTTAGGGCTTTGCTGTTTCCGGCTTCCATCCCGCCTAAGGATGGCATATCCCGAATGGCAGAAGAGCTGGCAGCCTGGAGAGCCCAAAGAGGTGAGCTACCAGGCGCGTCGATTCTTCCCCGGCGTTGCGAGAGCAGGGGGTGAGTCATACTGCGTCACCGAAAAGCATGACGGGCAATGGTTCCAAGTTCTAATTGTGATGGAACCCTGGCGAGGCGATGACCCAGCGGTGGTGTTCGGGGCAGTCGCCAGTTCTTTTTGGGGAGACGTCCGGAACTTGCTCGGGCTGTCCCCAACCTTCACCAGCTTGTGTTTCATACTTGGAGGGAAGGACCACACTACAGTCAATTTTCCGGTGTGCTCCAAAACGATTCAACCGGATATAAGGTCATCTTTATGTATCTCAGGAGCCACCTGCTTGTCCTGATTTGTTCTGGTTGCGTTTTACAGGTATCGACCCCGCAGGGTCGGCCGTTTATTGTTTGCTTCAGGCCCTTTTGTTGCCATGATGTGTTGTTGTTTCCCTCTTCCATTCAAATGAATCAGCCAGGGTGTTGAGACAACCGTTTCCTGTTGGTTATGTTTCATTTCTGTTCCCGCTGGATCTGCTGGTTACATTTGATCCTCTATCAGTTCCATATGGTTTCCATTCCCGGTTAAAAGCAAAAGCAAAAACACGGGATGGCCGGATCGGGGCAACTTCCCCAGGTGCCGGCCGGCGCCAAGCCGGGCTCCACGCTGCTGGTGGACGTGGGCCGGGGCTACGCAGTGCCCACGCTGGCGCGGGGGGGGGAGGGGGGGATGGTGCAGGGGAGCGGTGCTGGTGGCCGGAAAGAAACGCCAGAACAAATAGGTGTTGCTAAGCAGGTTGGTAGATTTGCTTCAGCCAAACCACAAGCTCCTTTGGAGGGGATACCCAAATGTCAATGTTTCAGCAGACCCACTTTGCGTTGGACGCTAGGGATCCAAAAGTGCAAGAGTAGAGGGCCTTGAACCCTTTACCTGTAGCCTGCTGGGACCAGCTTGGGGTTGATGTTTTGGCGTTGGGGCCGGCCTATACTTCCTGACGTGAAGGGCCTCATTTCGGTTGAGTGGCATTGCTCTTTTGCCACTGTCATTTTTCATGCCAGTTTTTGTTTCGCCCACCTCCAGCGGAGAGCTGGATGTTTGGAGCAGGATGTTGAGGTTTCCGGGGTCCATGCCGGGCAGCATTGCTGTCACCCTGCCGCATGCCAGAAGCGGTGATTGAATGCTGGTTGCAAGCGAGGGGTCCAAAACCCAGATGATGGCGAAGTGCGGTTGTGCTACAGGTTGTTTTCTAGGGGTCCGGCAATTGACAACTGTGCCTCGGAGGTCCCAGAGTCCGCGCATGGTGGCCTGGTGCTTACGTTGCGTCGGTGAGTGACTCATGCTGCACTGGCGCGATTGAGGGGGGCAGGGCTGCTCTAAGATTGTCAGAGCAAGACCAATGGGGTACGCAGTCTGGAGAAATATGCGGATTGTTTGACCCAGTGGTTCGCAGAAGTTCGCGGGAGTTCGCAGAACTTGCTTGGGTTCGTGGTGCCGTTCTTGGCCTTCACGGGTGTTCGAGGGGCCTGCGGTTCGCAGAAACTTGCCGAAGGAGCAGGGACGTGCGACTGTGAGTGATAAAGATTTCACCAGAGGGAGCATGGGGGTTGCAGAAGTTCGTGGGAGGCCCGGGGGTTCGCAGAAATTCGCAGAAGGGGCCGGAGTTCGCACAAGTCACTTGCATACTGGCTTGTCTCGATGCCATTGGTTTTGCCTGTCGATTGGTGCAAGAGACGTTGCGCCGGCAGCTGCTCTGGCCAACCAACACTGCTGATATTGGTGTTCTGCCTGCATTTTGTGCTGCTGCTTCCCGTTTTGTTTCGCCCTCTTTGAAGCCTTGACAAACCTTCTGGCTTGGAGGGGCTGCAATTGTTTTTCGTCGCAAGTTCTGCGGACTGCATGTAGGGCTCAATCCCGGCTCACTGCAAGACTCACAGCCAGGCTGGTGGTGGACCTGTCGCGGATCGTAGAAGATAGCCGAA